CAGATGTTTTCCCTGTTCAACAAATAGACTGTAGTCACAGACAGCCTAAGAAACGCAGGAACTGGCCTAATATGTTCACCCTTCCACCCTCTGGAAGGGGCAGGGGGGGAGGGGGGGGGGCAGAGAAAGATAGCGGCATGATTTCGGCGACATCGGATTTTGGCGGCAGGGGCAGGATAATTTTGTAGGCCACCATGCGAGCATTTTCATCGTGCGTCATGGTGTAGTATATGACATGAAAATACGTCGCTTAGAATACTCTAATCACGGTAATGTATCTAAACACGTTCAGGGTTACCTTGAGTTAGCTGTACATGGGTATGCTCAAACAGGAAGCAAGTCCTTTCGTAGCGCACGTATTAGACTATCCTTCCAATAGCTCGTCAAATCAAGGGGCACGGAGTTTTCTGCCGTCAGAGAATCCAACTCAATACGTTCAATGTCCTTTCGAAGTAACCGCATAATGAGGCGAGTTCACCTCTACTTAGGCTCCATTACCCGCGGTACACTCACACAAATAAAGGGGTACTTTGTCGTTGCCGCAAACTGAACGCTCTCTTCGGTAATTGCTGTATTGGAAGCTTCTTCGCTCGGAACCGCAGTACCAGAGAAATGACATTCACGTTTCGTGCCCGGAGACCGTTGTTTTTCATCCCTAAGCCTTTCTCTGAAAGCAAATGCTTTCTCTGTGCAGTGACCATTTAATGGCGTCTCAGTGCACGGGTGAATGTCTGCAGACGGGCAGCCATTGCGGTAATCTGTCTTAGTTTTACTACTGCCTTGAATTTGGAGTGTTGCGTCAGCTGCAACTTTTTTTTTTTTTTTTGTCGCGTTTGAGACTGAGTCGTGATAACCGAAGTTCCCGTATTCTGACATGATGTACTTCGCCTTGTTTTATAGCGCTTAATCCGTCCATGTACAGCTCGTGTTCCTTACCACGACCTCAGAATTAAGGGGTTGAGGCATGCGCGCTTACTATCAGAGAAGATGGATGACGCGTTAAAGAACCATTGCTGCAGTGCTGCTATAAATAGTTATCTGTTCCACCAGTGAAAACGAGAGGTCAGACATTAAACCCAACTGATTTAAAGCCTCAGTCGCATTTGATAGGACCCGTCCTGGTTGGTTGAAGCGATTTGCTCGGTTAGTGTTAAATTTTCGTTTGTTTTATTTGGTTACCTCGTAATGGCCTAGAAGATTTAAATTCCCGACGGCTTCTCTTCGCCGATGCATCCGTTCGTGATTCGTATAATGAACACGTTCTGGGTTAACTGCGCCCAATAAACTATTTTTACAGTCTTGGAAAGTCCGGAAAGCCAAATATTTGACTTTTACTGACTGCCAAGGTTGAGATTCTTACGTCACGTTTTAACCGTGGAGAGGGGGCTTCCTAAAAAGGCCACTCACATCATAAGTTACAGGGGTTGTGCACTTTTTCTTTCCAGCTCATCTAAACTTTCAGTGATAAACCATCTCTTCCACAACCTCGTTTAGAAAACAAAATACAGTCGATTATTGGGTAATATTAGATTCATCGTGAGGATATAACTCTGATACATATTGCTTTTTAAAGATTGTTTTTCACGAGATAAATCGACCGACGAACAACGCTAACTTGTGCGCCATATTTAAATATGTCAATTTCATTAAAATGGCACTAACGTTGCTTTGAAGAACATTGAAAAACGTATTTTGAAGAGCTTTTTTTTTCAAATACAGAAAAGCATAGTTTCGCACATCAAACTAGAAAACATGCTCAGTTCGCAACACGAGGATTATGGACCCATATCCCCAGCTTGGGGACCAATCAGTCCCAAATGTTGCATTAAATCACAAATAAATCCACACTTATTGTCACCGAGACTTTGTGAGAGGCAGTTCACGGATACTTTTGCCGGAGCTCGTCACGTCGTGGTTGGTTCTTGATTAGTTTGCCCTGATAATATGATGTGGCTGTCTGCTGGGCTCCCAAATGATAAATAGATTCTTAAAACTTAGGCCAACCCCGTCATTCGCAAGCACGTTCTGGGACGACTATAGGGAATGAAAGCTTTAAAGGACGCGGGATTTGACCAGTTTCGAGCATCTTATTATCGCCCCTCAGCCAATGAGGCTGCGGCATTACCCGGTAGAAACGCGTAAACATATAAGACTATGCCCTGCGTTTATTTTTTTTAACCGTCAGTGAGCATACTTGTAGTTTGCTGCAGCAAAATACCTGCAGGACACACTTTGCCCCCTCAGAAAAGAAACAGTACTTTGTTGACACCTAATGCGCAAAGCCGAACTTTTGCTGAATTTCATTTTTGTATACACATTTTCCTTGATCCGTGACGTCAGATAAACGAGTCTCAATGAAGGATGGCGTAGCGGCGTCATTTTTTTATATAAAAATTCGGGGAGTGCTTATAATAAAACATATTATACAAAGTAGTGTGTTGTAACGAAAGTATTTAGAGACGATGTATTGTCAACGTTCAAACGCTTCCAAGCCTGGCCGAAAGCATAAACCTAATAGCATGAAGCCAAACGCATTAAAAAAAAAGATCGTGCGCCTATACCCTCTCCACAGATTAATCGCAGAGAGTCAATCACTCTGACTTACGAATGTATCTTGACAAATGACGAGTACCAAAGTATGTCTTGAATGTAGTATTCTTTAGTCGTTTCTGGCCACGAAGTAGGGCAACACTAGATCATGAACTGCATTTAAAGATGACTGCAACAAAACTATTACCAATCAAGAGTATCGTTCTAATTTTAACAACATTTCATTCACGGGATCCTTATTTACATGGACCGAATGATAAATTCAACGATGTAAGACTGAGCGTGAAGTTTCACGTCTTCACGCTATGTGGCGGACACGTCCCAAACTTTCTTTTTAGACGTAAACAGAATTTCCGACATTCAATCATTGCGTCCGACGCATTGATTGAGTACGATCTGACTTAGTCAACTCAATCACTATATCATGTCGCAGCAATTTGCCACTCCAAGTACGTTTCAAAAAAAAAGAAAAACAGACAAGAGGGCATTTTTGTGAAAGAACAAGTGAAATGACAATACTTCAATTCGAGTACGTTTCTTTCTTTTTTTTTTTTCTCCTGGGGGCCAGGGTTTTTCAGACCTGGGGAGGTGATTTCGCCGGCGGCACCCGAGCAGCACTCTAATGGGTCACGCTCGCTTGACCGTGGAGAGCAGCACACATGGATTACCCTCGCGTGACCGAGGAGCGTGAAGTGCAGATTGCCCGATCTCTCTTCGAGGTAGAATTCCCCTTCCCCGAGCTTCCTCCGTTCACTTTGGCTTACTTTTCTTTGCTGCAGGGCCCCGGGGTATTCCAGACTTCTGGCTTAGGACGTCGGGCGGTTGCGTCACATATTTTACGAGGGCTTCAGCTGCCCCCGGTAGCTTTGTTGGTGTTAAAGACCGTAGACGCGTGTTGGGGCGTTTCGTAGAATCCGGATGGTGTATTTTTAGAAACTGGGTGGCGATGTTGCTGTTGCTGCTGCTGATTTGATGTTCCGTCTGCATGGAGGTATAGTTGGATACCGAGAAGGGGTTAATGCTTGGCTCTAATTTGGTTCGAAACGGTCGTAGACATTCCTCTATATTTCTTTCGCAGTGATGGCTTCGACCAAGCAGAGGTGAATGCTGCTTTGAGCGCTGGAAGCTCTGAGAAGGACAAAGATTGCTTCAGGGAATTTTCTACGTGAGCCTGCATCTCCAGTTTAGCATTAAAAGAGCTCCCAAAAAATCCTTATTTTCTCGTTTGTACATTTTTGTTAAACGTTTTTCAAGAAAACGTTGGTTTGTATCTTAAGGATTTACAAAAATAGATATTCTTCTCATTTTGTGTATTGTTTGGCTACACTATCGATGATTTAGCTTATAAAACCTTTGAGGTAATTATTTAATACATCGAGCTTACGCCGTTATGTCCAGCGCATTCGTATAATTTTGATGGAAGTCAGACAACGCGTCAAAGAAGCAGTCTGCGACAAGATATCATAAAAAGTTCAATTTAGGTAGGTCAGTTCTTAACATGTCGTAATCAATAACATGACTTGCAAGTTGTTATTTTTTCAGGGGCAAATTTTATGTTTTTGAACCATAAACACTTAGTTCCTTTTTCTATATTCGACATTGCGATATTAAATATTCGCCGAGTTACCTGCTTTGTCCAGCTAATGATAAAATAATATCCGTAATGAATATTAATAGGAGCCACGTGCCGCTTGGTCCGCAGAACCCGTGCAGTGAAATTTAATGCTGTTTACATGAGATGCTTGGGAATTGACGACAGCGATAATTATATCAGGCGAAGTTTATTTGTACTTCGCTTCTCACCATGACCTTTCGTATTACAAATATTTATCTCGGAGATATTCATCTTCGCGAACAAACACACTCTGGGACTTTTGAATTTGATTTGATACTTGGCGTTTCAATTAAGTTACCACACCATGCACTTCCTTTCGCAAAAACTGAAGTCTCAGTTATTCTGAAAACTTAGGTACGTTGGTGGAAAAGGAAAATTTTAAAGTTATGCTTGAAGAGTTTCATAGTTGCCCTCAATTGTTTAGAAACTCTTAATCATTGTAAAACTATATTTACAGCCGAGTTTCAGTGGTCTTTACAATGTCATATTTATATTTTATGAAAAATATTTTGCCAAGTCAAGAAACAATATTTTTTTTTTTTTTTTCACATGGGTCATATACAGTTTTGTATCAGGATTTACGTTTACCGTCGCTGAGATTACTAAGCTTTTACCTTATTGAGAGGGTTTGAGAAAATGTGCATCCTTACAATATTTTAGTTTAGGCACTGCGATTGAATTTTAAAATATCTACGCTGCTCCTTAAAAAGTCATATTACCGCAGTGCATATAACAGCAGAAAAGGCACGGTTTTCACTATTGAGGCCTATATAATGTATTTCACAGAATCGCTGTTTTTCTATATTGGATGGCAAGGAAACGAGAAACGCCAAGGTAACAAACAACTTTTTATTTGGTTTTCAAGCGCACTTGACCTAGTTAAGACGTCACAAACATTTAATTTCTAAGCTCTTGAAGCAATATATTAGTGCGCGAATGCCGCGCCGTGATATGTGGGTTCCTTTCAGACATTGCACTTGCGACGTTCCTACGAGGAACTTGTTCAACCATTCGAGTGAGAGATGATACCCTGCAAAGAAGAACACAATTACATTAGAAAATGCACAAGTAAAGACACTTACTATTGCCACATTTTCAGGCTTGATTGAAATTCTTAATAATCGTTCACATGCCGATAGATACGAACGTCGCACAAAGGTGTCCGTGCGCCATGCCTTGTGCTCTTTCGATGTGAATCAGCATTATATGGTGAGCCATGATAGTATAAATAAAATAAAGCATCGAACTTGTAACAACAAGGGAATATAAACTAGATCTGTCGAGATTATTATATTTACATAAAGTCAATGTTTAACTGTATTTGAAAGACCTTAATCTACTGTACTTTATAAACACACTCGGTATTTATAAGCCTATTGTTTCTGGTTTCCTTACCTTAGTTTTCTGCTTAATCAATCCGCAATATTTCAATTTGCTGTACTTTTGGAGCAGCTAATAGTAATATTATCAATATTTGGAGTGCAATTGCAATAAAAGCAGACTATTTTTTCTCGTTATATTTGGAAACCGAGCTTACTTTGAGGTCAGGACACGGCTTCCTTTAGACGACGACCTTGCTGCCGGAGCTGTGGCTGGAGGCTCCAGAGCCAGCGGCGGCCTTGTTGAAAGAGCTGGCTTCGCTGCCCTGTCCCTGAGCGCGGTTGAAGCCCTCGCTGGAGCTCAGACCGAAGTTCTTTGAGTCACCGTACGAGCTGCTGTGGCCGTACTTGTTGTTGCTTGACGAGCCCTGGTTGTAGGCGAAGCTACCCTGTCCAGCCTTGTTGCCCCCGGCAGCAGTCTGGAAGCCGGAGCCCTGCTTGAATCCGGAGTGACCAGAAGCAGCTCCACCGGCAAGCCCACCGTGCCCAAAACCGCCGTGTCCAAGGCCAACACCTCCATGTCCAAGACCGGGGCTAAGACCAAGACCGGCACCAGTTGCACCGAGACCGACTCCACCAACGGGTCCGACTCCGCCGACGCCTCCAACGGGCACGCCAACACCAACGGGTCCGACTCCGCCGACGCCTCCAACGGGCACGCCAACACCAACAGGTCCGACGGGCCCAACTCCTCCGACTCCCTTGCCGAGGCTGGCTCCACCGACAGCGCCAGAACCATAGCTTGAGGATCCGTAGCTTGAGCCATAGCTAGAACCGCCGCCGAGGCCAGCACCACCAAGACCACCACCTACGCCCCCTCCGTAAGCGCAGGGACAGGGTGGGCAACCACCGATGCCTCCGCCGCCGTGGAGAAGTCCTCGACCCTCGACTTTCTCATCCTTCTTCTTGGCATCGTCAGCGAAAACGGCCGCAGACAGGGCGAGAACAGCGGCGACAGCGAACTGAAACCGCACCAGAGCGCCGCTGTTAAATCCATTTGATGCTAGCAAAAGCGAAAAGGCGAAAGCCATGCAAAATACTGACGCTTTAAATGCCTTGAGTTTCGCTCAATATATTTCAGTGACCCAGTAGCAGTCAAATATAAAAAAAGCTTGGATTTTAGATCAGTAGTTCAAACCACGGCAGTTCATGTACAATTTCTTTAAAACATATTTACAAGATCTTGTTTGCACTGGCACAAGACCTCGTTTACCCAAAAGTTTGCATCTCTGCATGAACTGACTTGCATAAAAGTTTGTGCTGTCGAAAATGAAAGGGACGACATTTTAGAATTGCATGTCAATCATAGCTGAAGCTCTGCTACTTAATGCATTGTATGCAACATGAAAACGAAACTAAGTTGCTGTAATTCTGTTAATACCGCCCAAATATTCGTAAATATGTATAAAAACTAAGTTCTGTAATTGTATGAATACCGCCAAAATATTCACAAAAATGTATATTAGCCATACATTTTAGCATAAACACCTCAAAGTTAATTAATCAGCACATGTTTCGCTAGAGATGTGTCCCCAGAGATAGAAGACAGGACAGGAGACTTACGAAGGTCCTCATGCTGCTGGCTCTGGAGACAGTGGTGGAGTTCGAGTCCACTCTGTTCGTTTTATATCCACCGTCCTCCGCTAGGTTTCAAGGCCCTGACGACAGCAGAGCCTGTAACCTCAGCCTCCTCCTCCTTCTAGGAAGTCGCTTTCAACGCTGTTCGTTCCTCTTGCCGCATCTACGGCTCCATCGCCGCGGGCGGCCGATTGCAGCTATCGTTCTTCCTTCATCTTTCGCAGCCTCCACCGGACAGCGGTTGCGCAAAGGAAAGCTTCCACCGGACAGGTGCCAATGAGAGATGGGCGCTGGGTGCGGACGGCAGGGAACTTCTGCTCGCCTTCGATAAACCTCCACCGCCCTGCTTTCTCACGTTTCCGGGGGTTCGGTGCTGCGCCCTCGGCGGATGCACCGGACGTCTGGTCCCGTTTGATCGGGAAGCGGACGACACAAAAAGAACACGGAGAGAACCTCGTGTCCCCGTCTATACCGTCGTCTTCCTATGTCACCGGCCTCGCACGAGCGGTACCCTTAAAAAAAAAGATAACTATAAAATGTACTCCTCTTACAATCAAAAGAACGAGGGACTCCGCGCAAAAATTTAGATTACACCCTGTCTGTGTTGTCCCCTTTTGTGTATCTGTCCCTTGTAGACGTGTTTTAATCAACAATCCCCAGCTCGCTTAGTTTTAAGTATAGTTGCACTTGGGACAGTTTGCCGCATAGGCTACTTACTGTATTAGAGGTATCACGTATTCGGAACCTTCTTTTGTTTTAGTGAAGACCTTGATGAGTTGCTGCAAATATCATATCTGCTTAAAAAATGTGCACAAGGTTGGAAAATATGTATGTGTTTGGGGGGCATATAATGTAGCTGGCATTCGTTTGTGATTGTTTACACTAAATTAGGTGGATTGGTTTAGGCAATTTTTTCAAGTGTAAATTTTAGTTTATTTTGAGACCCGCGTAAATTAAATTACCTGAAGGTAATATTGACCTTACATCCGAAAGTTAATGTGGGTAAATGAAAGTATACTATAACGGATAATAAAAGTCAGCACATTACAAAAATGTTTTCATATTTTTTATCACCCTAGGTACTCGAACATAGTAGGAAATTTCCTTATTGTTAATCTGCTGATTCGATTCTCTTTCCATAATATATCTCCTTGAATCAACGCCGAGCATTCACGTCACTGTTTATTATACAAAACAAAACCCATAGAATTAATTTGCTCTTGCGTAAAAAGCCTGCTTGGACAGGATGAACGTCCCCTACGTTTCATTTGCATACTCACCTCGTGCACTAAAGGCTTAAGCACTCGCCATCGGTCGGGGACTTGTAGCCAAGAGCCGAGAAAATCCCTCTCTGTTTTTGCTTGCTGCAGCAGACTATTAGTGTGCCAATATTAGAGCCTGGTTTTCTCATATTGGCTCAAGCCCAACATCTCATATTTCAGGTTCCTTGCGTCGAGACAATTCAAGTTCGGTTGGCAATATTTCTTCCTAGTTCAGTCTTATAAAAAAAACTATAAAGCGGGAAAACACCAGAGGAAACCTAGAATGTCTAAACGCAATGTATAAAATCAGTCTTACGATAAGGACCGCTATGGGTGTAGCCAGCATGCTTCAAGGGGCAATTCCGATCAAAGATCGAACTACAGCCGATGGCTGATATCAGTTAATTTTGTCACACTATAATGATGCTTAAAATGCCCCATAAAAATGAGGCCCAGCTACTTACAGATGCCAGAATTAAATGTGCCATTGTCAGCTCTTTAGCGCGCCGACAACAGATCAGATCCTGCTCAAGCCACACTCAACTAAGATTCGTCATTTTTATATATCCATTGTATTTTCATTGCCGTCTAAACTGTCAGCTGGACTAATTTATTGATCAATACGTGCAGAAACATTTAGTAGCCATAACTTGCGTGACTGAGAAAATCGCATGCCCGGTGCCGCGAAGGTGGCATTGCTGCCATCGTCACAGCTTATATACCTGGTGTCATCACCACCACCGAGCCCGTTCATTGTGTCTCGCGGTAAATACACAAAGTCAAAAGTTTTGAACCATATATCTGCGGAACTACAGAGTGTACCCTCAAAAAAGTGTGCAGGGTTTTATTTGCCATAAAAATGAACTACGCACTGCCGAACGCTCAGTATCCGCTCAAATGTAGCGTTAGTGGTCCGAAGCAGATGCCAAAGTTTCAGAAGTGACCGTTACCTTACTGAAAAGTAATAAGTGATTTTTGAAAATTTTTATGGGAAAATGGCGGCCGACAGAGCTCTCGAATCCGTCGAGCTGAAAGGCGTCACTTAACCGAAATGGGCGAAAACAGGCCCCATTTCGCCTTTGAAATTTTCACACAATCATCTATAAATATTAAATGATATCACGTATAGGTTTGAAATCTCGCTATCTGATTGCGACCGTCAGCACTACGTTTGGTGGAGAATAATACTTTAGCCAAGCGTACTTTAGTTTCGCGCAGAGAAAAACACTTTCATTTTTCTTCTTTCTTTTTTAGGGGACACCCTGCTTATACAGTACCCGAAAAATATTTAACACTCTATAACTTATATTTATAAAACCGTCGTAAGTTAGAAATCTTGAACATTGAGCGAAGTCAAACATTGAGAACTTGCGTCTCCGCGCTTAAAATCTCAGTATATAACATTCAACATTATTTCATCGGAATTTCGTAAACATCAGCTTGGTGTCATGTGAATGGCGCACCAGACGTGTTTTGAGAAGATTGAATACCGAATTATACGTGACAAGCTTGATAACAGCCCATGAAATTTATTGAATCTCCTTTCCCGCAAAGCACTTCGTAGGAACAGACGCTACACTGTCCGAAGCGACCTCGGAAGACAACGAGGAAGAACACATGTTTGGACCAAAAAAACAAGTCTGCGATATGATACTGAGCATGTCATAAGCACTTAAAACTAGGGCTGGGCGTCGATTAAAAATTTTACCCATTACACTTTACTCGATTATTCGGTTTCGTTGATGGTCATGCATAATAGTTCCTAAAGGTCAATCTTCCACTAACAGAACGAAAAGTAAAAATACAACGCTTTCACTCCATTGATCGTCACATCTTTTGCCGTTTCTGAATATGTGATAAACGGTGCAATATAACAGTTTCGGATTTTATATCAACCTTGAAGTGTAGCTGAGAACAATTAAAAGACACTCACACTCACAAATTAGTACGTCAGCCCCAGAAGCAAATAGGCTCATTGATACCCTCCGGCAATACAGAACTCCCATAATTATTCACAACAGTCTCTGCTGCGTTAAACGGACACATGCACGGTGTTGAAGTGGCTAGGAGTCGTATAACCTTTTCCACTTGTTTGGAGTTACAATCCTCGCCCCTGCAATTCAGTTTGCATCAAAATTTCACCCACATTTTGCCTTCATACAGGTGTAGTCGCTTACGACTGCGAAGTGAAAGCGTTGGAATTTACTTCTTTTTTTTGTTAATCAAAATTTTACCGATTATCCGGGTAAAAAATATTAATCGCGATTGAATCGTTAATTGGTTAATCGGCAGGTTAATCGATTAAGTGCCCAGAACTACTTAAGATGGAGTGCACAGTGTCACTACATCTGAGGATTGCAGCAACTGGCTCTCCCGAGTACTTTGCGGGAACCTTGATACACTGGATATCCTAGAGTGAAATGTGAGGAATCAAATTTTGCAGGTTTGCTTTTTTGAGTAGTCGCTTTGCACCGACTTTTTTTTTCCTTTTTGTCAACTTAAAACCGACCATCTGGCTTCCAATTGCCCATAAAGACGAGGATATAAAGGTATTGTGAATTACATAAAAAAGAGCGTACCTATGTGGTTTTTGACATCCATTTTCTGCCCCTAGATGTCCTTCAACAACGGACTTGGCCTTGCTCCAACCAATTCCTCTACGAATTTTCTACTCTGGTTCTACATTTTTGTCCTGGTAAACATGGTAAGTTTTAGAATGTGCCCTATGAATCGTTAGGAACAATCAAGTGCTCAACACAATTTACGTTACATCTAAGGCCAGGATATATACGGTTCTCGTTACTTTTTTTTTTTTTTTAGCATTTGCATTATTGATTTTCAGGATAATGGAAAAATTGAAGTTACAAAACTGATTTTTTGGGGGCAAAGCTGTGCGATACAATATAATGACCTAAACTGCCGATAATTTTCAATTACCGTAAAAACATGGATCAATAAACGCGAGGTAATGCAAATCGTTGTATCCTATGAATTCTCCGAAATAAAAGAATTCCCGATTTAGCCATGAATCCGACATTTTCTAATACACGTGGCTGAACAACAGCTAAGGAAAAGAAAAAAACTACAAGGATTGTTTCCTGCTAATCGCCAATAAAAAATGCATTGTCATACAAACTTCTAGGTGTGTATGACTACGTACTGGCTAAATTTTGAACTTACTTTATAAACTGGTACTTGAAGTTATAGTCTTGGGGGCTATATGCGAGAAACTTATGCAGAACTGCAAGTGTGGGGATAATTCACAAGTGTGGGGATAATTATTTAGAATATTTATGTTTTTGAGTTGCCGGTTGCTTTTTTTCTCTCGATACAAGACTGAAACAAATACGCGTGGAATAGCGTTGAATGGTGTCGAGCTCTACTCAGTGATTTCGATTACTAAATATTAAAAAAAAATTAACTTGTGACAGTCTTAAGCATATTTTTTATACATGCTCCAGCATCAGTTCATTATAAAAGTAAGTTCAAAATAGGCAAGCCGCTGCGAATTTTATAGTTAGATTTTTAATTTCTAAGACAACTGCAAACATTTAATTTGTGCATTGATCAACGTCAAATTGTATTACTCGTGCTCAAAGTTGCGCCATCGTGACTTATACAAAGTAAAAAGTTCGACAATTAACTAAAACAAAAAAAGGAAATTTATAGCTTTTGATTTTGCCTTTAAGATCCTGGCGCTTTCTATTTAATTAAGACGTGTTAGTAATATAAAAAATTGGTTATAAAAGTTCTAATCACTATCTGATTTTTATAAAAACGTTTTATTTATCAACTTTCGAAATTGAAACCCAAAGCTATGT